GATTAACTGTCCTTATCACTAGGGCTTCATTGGCCAACTTCAAATTACATAGGTTTTCTTCTTTCAAAATGCTGCATTCAGTGATGGCTTTTGTTATTCTTCAGTTGACTGTCTCAATACATCGCTTTCTCCTCAAAAGTATCTGATTACACAGGTTCAGTGGTGCACAGACATTTTATGACCGGTGGAAGAATTTGTATGGTTTGGAGCTGCATACTTCTAGGAAAAGATTGCTTCCTGCATATTGCTCAGCTGTGTCTTTCTTGGATCAAATTCAATGAAATTCACAACTTGCAGTCAAATTGTATTTGCCAGTCAGACTGAATTCATTACTCTGCCACTTTTTTTGCTGCATTTTCTTACTTCTTTCCTTTCCTGTCCTTTTCCTTTCCCCTTTTCTAACCCCCCCCCCCCCCCCCTTAGAGCTATACCATGTGTCAAATCTTCTCATACAATGCCCTGTACATTTTCTGGCAAAAAACAAGTGGAACAGTATACATCATCATTCCGAACATGCGAACACTGAGATGCTAGAAGGCTTGGTACAAAGTAAGAGTGCAGCCATCTGGAGATAACTGCTAGTGTGGATCTGAGATTCCCAGCTGGCTGAGCCTTTGCAGTCTCAGAACTGTTTAGCAAAGCATGCGTGAGCACGAGGCTCTGCTCACACAGATCTGCACAGGGTACTTACTGGGTATTATGCAATTTTTAAAAAATGTAGATTCTTCAGATTTCTGATAAGAACACAGCAACAAAAAGCAAGGCTCACAGGATTACTTTTAAAGACCAACACAGAATCATAGAATCACAGAATGGTTTGGGTTGGAACGGACCTCAAAGGTCATCTGGTTCCAACCCCCCTGCCATGGGCAGGGACACTTTCCACTAGACCAGGTTGCTGAAAGCCCTGTCTGACCTGGCCTTGAACACTTCCAGGGATGGGGCTGCCACAGCTTCTCTGGGCAACCTTTGCCAGTGCCTCACCACCCTCATAACATCACATTTCCTTCTTACAGCATGGCATATTACAATATTTCTGCATATATGGCACTGTCGGATTTGAAACTGCACTTGTTCACTCTTCTTCAATGAAGATGTCTTGCCTTCATTGAAGCTGCAAGCCTTGAATCCTAGGCTTAGGTTATTTTCAGAGGAAAATACAGATGTGAAGAGATACATACATGTGTTGGAAGTTATGTAAAATTAATCCATTGAGTGTTATTCAGTGTCAATACTGTTATGACCTCTTACCCCTAACAAAAGACAAATTACTTGAAGAAATTACAGTCACATAAACAGAGATTTACATAGGTGTTAACTGGTCCCTGCCCATGGTACTAGGCTGGAACTAAATTACCTTTAAAGTCCCTTCTGACCTAAACCGTCCTGTGATTCAAAATGATTTGCATTTCTTGCGTTTTAAATGGGTCCCATTATGTGCACTGCAACATGCAATCCACACACAGCTCTGCTCAGAGCCAGCTGCTGAGGACCTCACTCTGTCCCAGGGCAGCTCCTGCATGCCCTTAGGGCCTCCAGGAGGTGTACAGACATGCAGCCAGCACACCCAGCATGGACCACAGTGCTATTTAACTGGTGCAGTGCTGGCTCAAAAAAAAAAATAAAAAAGGAAAAGAAAAAGACACATTTTTAAATTACTCTACCAAGATACTTGCTTAGACAGCAGAAACTGCAGTACACTATATTCTGCTTAAAATATGCTTGAATATATACGGGTTCTATTTACAAGACATGAAATACTGCCAAAAGTGTCCAGGGTTTTTAAGATTCAATTTTACAACACGCAACGCTGAATTTCTCCTTCCCATTATCCTCATCTGTCTCTGTTCTAGTTTGAAAGCGGCAGCTTGTGGTGCCAGAGGATTTCAAGGGCCGTGTCCTTCCAACACACGGCACGTCAATGTGCTGCCAGCTATCACACTGCCTGTGTGGCTGTGGCTGCGCAGAGCACGCATCAGGCACAGACTGCGTACAGCGGAAAACCGAAGCTAAGTTGTTAGGTTTCACTAACCGAGTCCTGATTGGGGTTTTGGGGGTATGGGGCTCCGCTGCTGCCCGAGGGGACAAGGGCCGCAAGCCTGCAGCTGCGGCAGACAGCAGCCCGCGGCTACCAGCGCCTCCGCCGTTCCCCCCGCAGGCGCGCACCGCACAGCTCTCCGCAGCCGGCAGCCCCGCTGGCGCGCACCCGCAGAAGCGCGCACTGCTCCCCGCCGCCGGGCAGTGGAGCGGCGGGGCCGGCGGCAGCACCGCAGCGTCGGCGGCGATTCGTGGCCGGGGGGTGAGAAGGAGACTCGGAGCACCGGAGTGGCAGCCCCCGTTTCTACCGCCTCCGGATGTTTTCAAGCGTCTTTCTTCCCGCCCCCAGGCCGTCAGGGTAGCAAATGAATGCGTTGTCCCACCACCCTGCCCGGTCACCTCTTGGATGTGAAGGAAGAAACATGTTTTTTCCTCCCTCTGACTAATAGCGGGTCAAGAAATGAGTGCTCTTGCTTCCCCCTGAGTTTCCACATCTCGAGCTTAAACTGCCGCCAGTACAGCCGCCTCCTGTTCACACTGTCAGCAACGAGACGCAGTATCTGCGGGCAACGTTGTAACAAAAAGAGAGACCTTGAACTTTCTTCACCCTTTTCACAGTCATTTATATTTGGGCAAAGTGGATAACAGCTCTTTTAGCATTAAGGTAGTGGCATTTCATGCTTGCTCAGCATTCACTTTACCCAGGTATAAATAGCAAAAGGTTTCAGGCAGTAGAGAATTGGGACCAGTATCTTCAAAGGATTCTCAGTCAGAATAAGGCAGCTAGTCCTCCACACCACAGCTTGTGCAATCTCACTCTGCTGCAAGGATCATTCCCTGCAGGGGTGCCTAGGAATGCTGGTTTGGCAGCATTGCATGCCCTGGTCTTCAGAGAAAATGTGCCTTCCTACCACTGCATTATCTAGTGGTCGAATCAGACTGAGAGCTTTCACCTGTAAAGTAGGGAGTAATAGGGCTCAGTTTCTTAATGGGAGCCTTTTATTAGCTCACACAGTGTTATTTACTACCCTATCAGTATTAAGTGCTTGCCTTAATATCCTTAGTACACAAGGTAGCAGTACATATTATCATAGGTACAATAAGTTTGGTCTGAACTACGTTAATTGAGAGCATCTATTCTAAAACTGAGTTGTTCCAAACAAAAAAGTAAAGCATGCCATTACATGACTGACACATTACCAGGGAGAGCTCTCAGCGTACAAGAGAGCCACAGGAAGAAGGGCCCAATGCACAGAAGTACCATTAAGTTACACGCTAATGAAACCTGAAAAATTCATGCTAAAAACCCATTCGAGAGGACGGCTGCCATGCTCTTGTGTACCAAAGTTCTCAGTTTTCCACTTAAATCCTGCCTGGTGAGTCAGGACGTGGCTAGGTTTCTGTACTGCAGGAGTAAGTATTCCGTTACTCCTGCTTATAAATTTCACACGCTGCTAATGCTTCCCAAACTGGCAACAGAGCTCAGGGGTGCATGAGGACAGTTTGTTTTCCTGCTGAACTTTCAACATAAATTCCACAGGACCTCTGGCAGGGATGATACCTTCTTTTTTTGCTGACACGTTTGTTGGTACCCCCCCTGCTGACAGCCATCAGTTTGCACCCCTCTCACCCACCCACCTCTGATCCCAGGCTGTGTGGAAAGATCTTTGTTAGCTCTTAGACACTACATAAGGGAAAGGCTGCCATGCAGACAGACAGATTCCATTGCAAGGACTTGGAGAGGAATCCATAAGAAGAGATACCCCATATAGCAACCATCCTGGACTGCAGAATATCTGGGATCAGTTCCAGGTCTGAGACAAGGCTCAGGGGATAGCCCATCTCAATTTAACCCTCTCCATTCTTTACTTCATATATAGAATGAAACATAGGCCCAACACCATTTACACAGTCCTGAAAAATCTGGGCGGTTTACCTCAAAATATGCTCTGCATTTACTTTGAACACCTTCTGTGATCATGGTACCAAATGGGAATCTCCGATGTCTTCCTTATATGCCTAGATGCTATGATTGCAGATAAATATTGGATAATTAAAAAAAAAATAAAAATAAAAATAGAAGGCCAATGACAAGGATTAAACTTTTTCTTGTCACTATTTCAATCAAGTCTCATTAAATTCTGAGGGCTAACAATTCCCGTACAGAGAAGATTAGAGGAGATTCTCAGTGCTTCAGGTCTCCTACTGCAATAAAATGAACTGTCCTGCACGCAGGCACAGTTTTTGAGACAACATCAATGTGAAACCTGTCCAACCTGTGATTACCACTCCAAATAAACATGGAGCTGCAGTGAGGAGATCAAAACACACCTTTTCTTGACAAGATAAACTGGCTTCTGAATTACCTACTTGATGCCATAGTAAGACTATTGGGGATCCACTAACTTTAAGGTAGCTTGGGTGTTATTATACTACAATGTCAGCACCTTCATAACTGTAGTTTCTATGTGCCCAAAATGTTTAAGGCCCAGAGGAGTAAATAAACTTCAAATAGTACTGTTAATGCTGCACTTGAAATGGCAAGACGGTCAAGAGAAATCACCAACTTACACTTCAGGACAATCTACAGATAAAACAAAAAAACCCCAATAAAACATTTCAGATATCAAAACCCCATCCACCATTTCTTCTTGTATTTTTACAAGTACATTTTTCTGTTTATTTGGCTCAACAAGTGTGCTCCCTGCATGCTTGATGTAAGAACTGCAGAGAGAAGGGAAAGGGGCAAACCAAAGCAAAGACAGCACCTTCAAGTGAATAAAAACATACCCTGTCCCAGAGAAGAAATGCTTCTGATTACAAAAAGAGCTGACTTCCATTGCAACAAAAGCACATGTAATCAGTATTTAAATAATAGTGACTTCCATGTTTACCCTTCTGAAAATGAATAATTATTCACTCTGGCTCACTCTCTCAACCCCACCCTTTCTTTGCTCTCCTACCTGGCTGCTGCCGTCAAAGGTGCAAGTGAGTAATGGTTCCAGTCAAGGCAATCTGGTTCACTGCTCCAGCAAATATGGCTGTTGACTCTCTCCTCCACCTATTTGAAAAATAGGAAAGATTTTTTCAGGATTGTGATCAATTCAGTTTGCTGTTTGATTTTATATCCTAATTGACATTACGGCATTGGCTACATCCATACGTATAAGAACCTCGGAAATCCTTCATGCTACTCAGGTCTTTTTACCCCAGAGCAATATGGCATCAGCTATCATTAGCTGTCCTATGTTTTCCTGTGGTTTGCTGTGGGCTAGAATACACATCAACTAATATATTCTGCGGTGAAAACAATAGACATACAAGACCAAAAGGTACATACAATGATGTATTTCCAAACATGATGTATATAACAAGCAGTGTAAACACACAAAGCATGTGGAAGTGGCTTTGTAGTCTATTTACCTTTAGGGCTTGCAGTTCCAGGTGTTCTGCCTTATTTTGAAAACATCATACCCAAATCAGAACTTAAGAACACTTCTTTTTTTTAATTAAATGCAAATACTTTCTCGTTACTGAATCAGAGCAGTGCAATTGTCTTTCATTCTGCTTTTCTGTCTAGCACTGTGCTTTAAAAGTGAGATCACCTCTAAAAATTCCCTTTCCATATGATGCAAGTCTGTTTTAGAAAATAAGTTATTAGTGTACACTGTGAAAATCACTCATACACCTTAAATCTCTCCTTACATGTGACAGTACTCTGAGAAAGACCACAAAGAGGCACTTTCTACATACAAAAGACCTTCTGTAGGCATGTATGAAGGAGCAGATACACATAGGTAGGTCCGAGGCCCAGAACACCAGGAAATGTGTTCATTAATGTAGATGTGTTCGACAGCTGCAGGCTGCCACATTTGCACCTGCAAGAGCATGGTTCTGGAATACATGGAGGCTACCCTTAATCAGGGCATACAGACAATGCACCAGGAACTGGAAATCCTGTCTATACTGCACATAATAGAGCTGACTGAAATGCCCACCTCATTAGTACCGAGACAACAAACCTTCAGTGATCTTCTAGTGATCACATACCCGAAGGCTCTGGCTATTCTGATTCCACCGAAGACAGGTGTGAACACATAGAAAACCACAGCGCACATTTTGCCCAGGCTTTCGTTCAGGTTTGCCTGTGTACTTGAATGTCCACATGTGAGATGCCACCCCAGATGACATGACACGGATGGGCAATGTGTGGGCATCCCGGGGCTGATATGCAGCATCCCAGGGGAGTGCAAGGCACCAGCAAGAAGTGTAGCTTGTGTTGCCCCTTCTCTTGCTCTTTGCCCTGGCCATGATGCTGAGCCCTGGCTGGCCACCATCTCGGGGCAGTTAGGTCACTGCAGCAGGAAAAGGTACCTGCTTCTCAAGGGCTTACAAGTGTCACGGCAGAGGAGCATGCCAGAGGACAGGAAAATCTCAAATGTAGCACACCAGATTTGCAGATCCGTGCTCATGGCCTGACCATACTGGCACTGAAGCCAACAGCAAACCTCCCTCTGCTTCCAGCAAGTGCAATTGCTGCCCGTATTGCCCCACGCACAGGGCAAAGCCTGTCTACTGTGGGGTAGACAACGCACAGCACTTCCACTGCTAGCAGGCTGCAGATGTGAGCTGCTGGGAACAGGGTGCCAAAAGCTGAAGGATAAAGTACGCCTGGAACCAGTTAGCAGTAAAAAGCATATGCTTACAGGTTTGTTTTTTTTTTTTTTCCTGTAATGTTTGCTATCAGCAACAAAACCAAATAGCAAATGATAATGTGTTACTGACCGGCAATGTCAACAGTGGTCTATACAGGCATCTGAGTATATAAAACAACATATGCTCTGGCTCCAGACCCTGACACTTTGTCACACAAATATACAGCTTTCTAGGAAATGAGCTGGGTGTGGAGCCAGGAACCACATTTGAACCTTTGACCAGACAGGGCACAATGCAGTTTTCATCTGTGGGTGAAACCTTGGCATGGCTGGAATCAAGGGCAAAATTCTGTTTTTAGAAGGACCAGTATTTCACTCACTACTTCTACAACTGGCCTGAGAAAAGTTCCAGTCAAAGAGCAAAGCAAAAGCAATAGCAAAAGAGAAGTCAGGAGTCTTTACTGTCCCATCCTTCTGTAGGAGCTAGAGGTACTCTGGATTGTAGCATCCTCTCCCTGGTGTGGCATGGACACCTTCCAGACCTCAAGCAAGTCAGCAGGTGCCTTCACAGGCCTAACTGACTTTAGTGATGTTGGCTACACTTGCACTCAGCCATTTTTAATTAACATGCATCGTGAATTGGTTTATCTGATCCTCAACCCAAAGACAAGGGTCTTTATTTCCATTTACAGTAAATCCTCTCTATAGCACTCTGGCAGGAGCAGAGGGGGCTTTCATGAAAAGAAAATAAAGCCTTAAGTGAAAGTTGTCATTTAGGAAACAAAATCACACTGCTGCTGCTCCAGCTACATACAGAGTATTTAAACTAAAATCCATGAGGATCATTATATTCCATTTTCCCTAATTTTCTTTTTTAGCTCTTAACTGATGGGAGCCAGCGTCTTCCCTCTCACTTTGATAGCCTCACTGTCTTCCAGTGTTTCTCAAAGCATTCCTTAGCATCTGATCCAAGTGTGAAAGACTCTCCCTGATTTCAGTGAAGACTGGATCAATTTCTGAGTCTTTAAGGAGTTACTTAATCGTGACTCACACTTAGGCAAAAACTATCCAGAGCAGTTCTATGATTTTGTCCAGGCACTACTACCGCATCTCCTTACTAACCTACCATCTTACAGGAACACTGGCACTAGCAAACAGGACGTGGTCTGGGGGAACAGCCAAGCTACAGAGTCTCTAACAACCCCAAATACTGCATGTGTCATCAAACAGGATTTTACTGCCAGCTATTGCTCCCAGAGGCATTGTAGTGATACTAAAACCAGAAACTTTTAATTTGCTTTTATCACCGCGTTAGTAAAAATTTGTGCAATCCTCAGCTCTTTGGCAGCAAAAGGAAACAAGTGTGCCTTCAGCAACTGCCCACCAACGACAGAATGCGGTGCCACCACCACTGCTGAGCATTTGCTAGTATTTGGTCATATCTGGTCATGACTCTCCACATCTGCTACACTTCTTTGCCAGCCATGCAGTCTAAGACTAAACAAGCACATCAGAAGGGAAATGAGAGTATGAGAAGCATGGCATGCCGTACTGCTTGGAAGAGGTTTTATTCAATCTGAACTTTGTATCACAGACACTCAGGGATTAGCCTATTACACGGGACCTGGAAACACATAGGCAGAAGTGCTCTGATAATGACTCTTACATCATCTGCTTTTGAAAGACTGCTAGCTTCTCCCTTGGCAACTCCCATAATCATTTCATAACCGTAAAACTACACCTTCAGTGGTGAAACAAAAGTGTAGCAATAGGCATTGGCACCATCTGACCATAAAGATTAATTTATTTCATGGATCAACAAGAAGGACTTTGTTTTATGTTATTTCTTATATACCTGTTATATCGACACTGTAATAAGGTCAGTTGAGAGTAGGGGAGGGACAGGGAAATTCCTGCACTCTGTACAGGGTAAAAAACATCAGAAATCTCATGCATATTTTAATCAGAAACTAAAGTTTAAGGAAAGCAACTGGATATTTATTTTACTGATAACAAGTTAACTGGCTTATAACAGGTAGCATTCCAGCACAGACTGAACCTTACCATGGTTTGGGAATTTACCTAAAGCCTCAGTTTGACCAGGTCCATAAGAAACCTAGACGCTATTCAAATTACAGCCAGGATCCAGGATTATATAGGATAATTAGTACCAAAGAAGAGCTAGGCAATACAAGCAAAAAAATGTGCACATTTCTGTAGCATACCACCCAAGGGCTTGAATTCATGACTGGTAACTCAAAGCAGTGAGGCTACATGCAAATCTCCTACTTCTCCATGGGTTCAAATCCCCCTTTATCAATGTTTTCTTACTAAATACAATGCACTGCCCATGCAAGCTTCTGTACTCTAGTATTTAGAGATTGTGAATCCAGTCTGTGTGGATTTCTAATGCTCCCTTTGCCCCCTTTCTCCCTTTCAAATACAGGAAGCCTGGAGAATTCTGTGAATTATAGCCTGTAATAGGAGAAGCAAGAAGTCTAAAATTTGCTTGATTGCAGCTATGATGCATTAAGCTCAAGGCATCAATCTCAATCTCAGTACTTTTTCTCTGAATGGGCAGTATTTTACAGTTATCACTTTCTAAACAAAGCACAATTTATTATACACACAATTTGATAGCTATAGGAGCTAAGACTAGAAGCAAGAATGTCTTCCTACTTGAGAAAGGTAAAAGGAATGTCATACTTTAAATTGACTTCATATGATCAATGGCAGAACACAATCATCTGAGAAATGACATTCATGTCCTGATCAAATGTAATCATACCATATGCACTTGAATTTGGAAAAAGTGGAAAAAAATTATTCCCATTACTTTACCGGTGTTCTTAATGTGTTCACACAAATCACCTGTGAATAGAGGAATTAAAATACTTACAGTGTCTCTACCTTTGCCCTCTTAATTCCAGGTAATTCTGGCAGCTCTCAATACTGCAGAAATGTTTTCCTACAAGCAGTTTGATGAAATTAATGGATTAAATCTTGAACTACCTCCAAAGCTAAAGGGATGTAATTTATTTTTTTAATCAAATGCCTCTATGCTGTAAACATTTTTGTCTTCATTACTAGAACAGAAAGACATCTAAAGCCTAATTTATGTATCCAGGTTTTATGCTTTTGTTGTTTTCCACATTTTTCTCAATAGGAGCATGAGAGCCCATTTCAGTTTTGATTATTGGCAGCTTTTTTTCATTCTGGTATCCTGCAACCTAACACCATATTACAGATCTGGAAGTAAACAGAACCAAGATATCTTTGTAAAATTTTAACTTGCTGAAATTTATACAATTGTGGATTAATATGCATATAGGCATGTGTGTATATATACATAAATATATGTATATATAGGCATATGTGCCTATGCATACACACAATATGAATAAAA